TTATAATTAAAAAATTAAAATTAGTTATAAATTTAAAAGTTGCGATAACTTTTTTTTTGGTCCAATACTTTTGACCGAGGAGTGTACATATATAAATTGTAGCATGAAAAGATCTACATTTAGGAGGAAATGTAAATAATATACTTCGTCTAGTAATTGTTGAGAATTTCCATAGATGAACATCACAAGAATAAAATTCAATAATTCTCTATATAGTTGATCTTGATGTCTTTCATCATTGTCTAACTTAATGGAGTCGATCTCAAAGACTTTGTTATTCCTGAAGTCGACCTCAAAGCCTATTTCGTCAATGTCTAATTTGTATGTCAAACTTTTACATCAAAATCAAAGTCTCATATATAGCCAATTGCATCAATAAATTTATACATATGGTGCTACAAGATTAACTCTAATAAGACAAATTCTTGATTTTAATGGAATATCAATTTCCTTTATTGGGTTTATAATGCCTTAAAATTTGGAAGTTGATTATTTTTTTATTTTGGTTAGTTTATAGCATCTCTGCTAGTTTATTTATTAGTATATCTAATATACAAATGCAAATTCAAAAGTTCATGATTTTTTCAATGAAAGAAATAAGGCAAAAACAACAATTACTGATCAACCAAACTTTAAATTATGCATAATTAAACGACAAACTTTTTTGTGGTTTAGTTTTAACGAATATTGAAATTTCGACATATCTAAATTGAATTCTCATTTTCAAAATTTATATTCTGTTTTCATATATGGACGGATAACTTTACAAAATGCTACATGCATGATGTGTTATAACAATCTGATAAAAGTTATAAAATTCTGTAATCCAAATTATCAACCACATCATATTATATAGTATATTATAAGATTTTTGTAACCCGCCGTATTAGTTTTCAAAAATTGAAAAAAAATTGTTATAGTAAATTTTTTTTATACAAATAAAAACAATTGCGTAAAAACAAAAAAAAAAAAAAAAAAAAAAATCTTTTAATAAGATTTATTTTACAAGCATTCATCTCTTTTTGCTTGTTACAAGCGCTTTTTTGTGACTTTCATGGTGAGCTCAATTGTCAATATTCTATATAAACTTTGATAAGTCTTTGATAAATTATTTTTGCATTATATTTTCCAATCTACCAAAATTAATTCTTACACAAAAATTCTTATTGTTATACAATATAATTTCCAAAAACATATTTGCAGATCATCATTTCCCAGTCAGGGATTTTACCAAATATAGAATTTCTAAATACAATGTTGATCGACAAATAATCGACATTCTAGAAGTTCATAAAAATTTGCCGATCATTCTAAAATTATAAATGATCGATAAACTGAAATATATTAAATATATTAACCGTAACTGGTTATGTTTTTTTTAATTTCTTTTTTTTTTATTATTTTGTGAAGATGCGGGACCTTTTTGCGTGATATGCTAAACGATTACATAATTAATCAACTGTGACCGTCGTCTAGAGCAATTCATTAATAAGTTTCTTTTTTATTTTAATTTTAATTTTTTTTTACTCCTTTTCTTCCTCTCCCTCTCTCCCTCTCCCTCTCACTCTCTTTCTTTCTTTCTCTTTTTCTCTCTCCTTTTTTTGTAGGAACGGTTTCAGATTCTGAATTTTCTTGGAGATATATCTTTCAGTAAGTTTCAGTCGAAATGGGTGGAGTTCTTTATTAAGAAAGAATATTACTAACATTCTTTTTCCTTTATTTTTTTGTAAGAACAACTTCTAGTAACTTTTAGCTCTTAGAATTTCTCTTGGATCGGCTTTTAAGGGTAGATGTTGAATGAGTAGGATTCTTCTTTGAGAAAAAACGTTACTAACATTTTTTTTTCTTTCTTTTTTATAAGAATAGCTTATAAAAACCTTTGGATTATGAAATTTCTTTTAGATCGGCTCTTAAAAGGTAGGTTTTGATGAGGTGGGATTCTTCTTTAAGAAAGAATGTTTCTAACGTTCTTTTTTCTTCCTTTTTTGTAGGAACGGCTTTTAAGATTATTTGGATATAGAATTTCTCTTGAATTGGCTCTTGGAATGTAAGTTTTGATGGGGTGGGATTCTTATTTGAGAAAGAATGTTTCTAACGTTCTTTTTTCTTCCTTTTTTGTAGAAATAGCTTCTAAGATTATTTGGATTATAGAATTTCTCTCAGATCGGCTCTTGGAAGGTATGCTTTGAATGGAATAGGGTTCTTCTTTGAGAAAGAACGTTATTAACGTTCTTTTTTCTTTCTTTTTTTATAGAAACAGCTTCTGGATCATAGAATTTCTTTTGAATCAGTGCTTTAGCTTTATAACTTGTTTCATGAATTATGTAATTAATAGCAATAGTATTTCATTTAATAATATCTTAATATTTTATTTATTTGATAATATTAGTTGGTAATGTACAAAATTTTTGAATACATTATAAA